TTCACCAGAGACAGAGTGGGGAGCAGAACAGGCAGATCTACGAAGTACGACAGTACTTTTTTTTTTTAAGATTTATTTATTTGTGCATACAGAGCTGGGGTACAGGCCAGAGGTGTGAGGGCGGTGAGAGGCTTCACCAGAGACAGAGTGGGGAGCAGAACAGGCCGACTGACAAAGTACACTGCTGAGGGGAGCAGTGGACGGGCCAGGAGAGGTCTGCCGCACCAGGTGGGTCACCTGGGGTGGGCGGGGATTGAACTCATGCTTAAGTGGCCTTAGCTTCTTAGTGCTGTGCTTTAGCCCGCTGTGCCACCAGGGAGGGCCCAAAAAAGGTCATTTCTTAATACAGCTAACATTCATGGCTAAATTTACTCTAGTTATTTATTAACTTCCTTAGCTGGATTCTATATAAATGTGTTCAGCATAGGCATCAGAGCTAAAAATCCCATGACTAGATAAAATCCCATCACAATGACTGCATTTTGGAAATGCTACATAAAAAATTTTTGGAGAAGAAAAAAAATCTACTGAAAAATATAATTTCATTTATGTTTAATGGAAAGATTTCCAAAGAGATACTTTGTTACCTGGTTACATCAATTATACATATGCTAAGTCAATTTGTCAATCCAATATGGAAATCACTCCCAATATCTAATCTTTCAAATGTCCAAGTTGGTGAAAAACTCAGTTATTTATAGCTAAGCAGTTAACACAGCTGTCTTATACTCAAATTATTTTACCTTACTGTAACTATTTTTTTCACAGTAGTTATGTATGACTCTTATTCAATAATGACTTCCCTTTCATTTTCATCTTCAAATATTCCAATCAACTAAAACCCAAATTAAAGATTTTATTTATTTATGCATAAAGAAATGGGGTACAGGCCAGAAGTTCAGGGGCAGCAAGAGTTCACCAGAAACAGAGTGGGGAGAAGAACAGACAGATTAACAAAGAACACTGCTGAGAGGAGATATGGGAGAGCCAGGAGAGGTCCACTGTGCCATGTGGGTCACCTCCAGGGCAGGGACAGAGCTCGCACTGAAGTAGCCACAGCTTGGCTTAACTTCGTAGAGCAGCACTCCAACCTGCTGTGCCACCAGAAAGAGCCCATATTAATGAATTCTTTTTTTTTTTTTTTAAAGATTTATTTATTTGTGCATACAGAACTGGGGTACAGGCCAGAGGCTCAGGGGTGGCGAGAGGCCTCACCAGAGACAGAGTGGGGAGCAGAACAGGCAGATCAACGAAGTACACTGCTGAGGGGAGCAGTGGGCGGGTCAGGAGAGGTCTGCCACGCCATGTGGTCACCTCCGGGGCAGGCGGGAATCGAACTCATGCGGAAGCAGCTTTAGATTCTCAGTGCTGTGCTTTAACCCGCTGCGCCACCAGGGAGGGCCATTAATGAATTCTTAAAACTTATAAGTTCACTGGAAATTAAGCATCAGCTCTGAGTTAGTTCTAGTTTATACACATTAAAAACAATTATTGTTTTCATGCATTAAAAACAATTATTGCCCTCCCTGGTGGCACAGCACTAAGAAGCGAAAGCCACTTCCGCATGAGTTTGATCCCCACTCCGGAGGTGACCCACAGGGCGCGGCAGACCTCTCCTGACCTGCCCGCTGCTCCCCTCAGCAGTGTACTTCTCAGTCAACCTGTTCTGCTCCCCACTCTGTCTCTGGTGAAGCCTCTCACCACCCCTGCACCTCTGGTCTATACCACAGTTCTGTATGCATAAAAAAATTAATCTTAAAAAAAAAATTATTGTTAAGTATAAATAAATTTAAGTACAAATAAGTTTAGACCAGAAATTTAAGCCACAGGAAGTTTTAAGTTTTGGAACCACTACCTCCCCACAAAAGCATACACATGTATGCTTATGAATATGTGTGTATGTTGTGTGTGTGTCTATCTATACATACATCTATGTAAATTTCTTAAAGTACTAGTATCTACTCACAACCAGTATCTTTTAGGCGGTTGATGGCATTGGAAAGAAGACGAACACAACCAAGAAATCCAGCACCTTGTTTTTTATGGATCTTCTTGTGATTCCATACACTGATTGTAACTGAATCAGACTTTCCAATATACCTAAAAAAAAAATTACTACATGAATATTTTCACAATTACAAGTACTATATATTTTTTTATGTTTTGTAGTGTAAAGTCACAAATGTTTCAAAGTATGACTACAACATGCAAAATAGGTTTTAGGTTCACATCAATTCACAGGGATGAATTTAAATTTTTTAATTTCTAAAATATCCTTTTTTCACATCTGTCTTTCTCAGGTGGAGTAACACTTTTCGTTAGTTAAAAAAAAACTTTTAGTAGCTAGTGTTTAACAGAAAATTTATAATGACTATTTCATTTTGAGAACAAAAATCTTAAAAGGAAAAAAATCTTAAAAATCTTATCACAATCATCTTTCAATGGCATGACCTAAGTTACCTCAGAAAGAACTCAGTTCATTTTCAGGGGGCATTGTCAAGGCTGACAGACCAAAAATCTGACATACCTGGTATGTTTAAAAATGTTGTAGAACAAAAGGTGTTTGTAACGCTTTTCCCCTGCTTCTTTCCTGTATGCAGGCCTTGAGCTAGCAGGACTCTTGCAGATTTCACTTCACTGCCTGCAGACAAGCAGAGCAGGGAAAAGCGTTACTAGATTTGTCCGTGCACATACCTGCCAGTATGTAAAAGCTCTACCACAGTCAATTGTTAACATGGTGTCAAACCATGCAAAAATATCACAGCGACATCAGTAGAATTCTAACTATATTTCAATGATTTTAATAAGTCAAATTTTTGGTCCAGCAACCTTGACCATAAAGCATCATTCAGTAAAGCAGTAGTATCAGAAAATTCAGCAAGTGCACAAAAAACCTAAACCACCTATGTGAGGAGTAAAACTTTTAAATGAGGGATACAGAATTTACACTTGAGCCTCTGGATCCAACTGTGTTTAAAGTATATCCATCCCTGGACTTTTAATTAGGTAAACCTATATTTTATTTTTTTAACAAAGCCAATTTAAATTTTGTTTCTGTTCTTGTAAATGAAAATATCTCTACTAAAATATCACTTAGCATGCATGCATCAATTTTCCAATAAACCTACTAGACCTAACTGGCAAGTGTCTACAACTAAGACATGATATGCCCAGGTTGTAAAGCTGGAATAAAGTATTAAGCAGCTAAGTAATCCCAAATATCTTTAAAAATATATTAAATCAGTTTCTGGTAAGTCTGATATAAAGACATGGTAAAATATTTGATTCCCTAGAGTCTCACAGCTTGCTTAAGCATCTGGTCGGAGTTGTCTGTCAAGGCAGAGAGGACAGTCTTAAGAAAATACATTGAAAACAGCAGATCCTATGTCACTGAATGACTATGTGACAGTGTCTCATTGGTGGTCCAGCCAAATAGACTACATACAAGGTATACTTTGTATTATCCACTGAAGACATGGGGCTGCCTGCTGCCTCAGTTAGCCTGTTCTAACCAACACAGGGGACAAATCATAAATGGCCTTGTCAGTCACAGTATGAAATCTGGCATTTTCCCAAGATGGGAAACCAATGGGGAAGACTTGGGACAAAGGATTAACAAGATTTCAAATGTTTTAGCAGGATCACTCTGGCTACTGTACTGAGAAGACTAGAAGTCTTACTAGAAAAGCAAGGAGTCTGGGCCTCCCTGATAACACAAGGGATTAAATCACAACACTATGAAGCTGTCCAAAGCCACTGCAATTAGATTCCTGGCCAGTTAGATTCCTGGTCAGGCAGCTACCCACATGGCCTGGCAGACTTCTTTTCGATCTGCCTGGTCTGCTCCCAACTCTGTCTCTGGTGAATCCTCTCACCGTACCCCAGCTCTTGTATGCATAAAAAAATAAATCTTTAAAAAATAAAAAAAATTAAATTAAATACATTTACTGAAAGCACATAACATTTGAAAATGTTACTAGTTTAAGTTACATTTACTGGTTTAGGTACTTATACTATATCATGTAAACTTCTACATCAGTCTTCTAACAGTAGGTGTTCCTGTTGCTGCTGCTGTAACTATTATCATTAAACAATTAACTGATAACACAGTAAGTGATAAAAATGGGAAGCTAAGTCGTCTCACAACTCTCAATTCCCTACCTTTTTAGACATTCCTGTTTACATGTGTATTAACCCCAGTTACTGATCCATAGTGCCAAGGAGCATGCAAGAAAGCATATCCTTACTGGTTTCCAGGTACCTTAATACAATGAAGGAAATAGGACATTTGTTCACATGTGGTTTAGAAGGTCAAACTGAAGTAACTGGCTAAGCTGGGTAGCACACACGGTTCTAGAGCTAATAATCTAAAAGTAAGGAGGTGAGATGTCAGGCAGAGAGTTTTTAATGGAATGTCTGAGATTAGTCTTTGTAGGTAAAATGAAGTGTAACATTTTGGAGAAAAGTTGAAGCTGATGAAGAGTGACACAGACTGACAAACTTAAAAGGTTAAGGGCTTGGGAAGCCAGGATCAAGACAATTAACATGTTTATAATATGAAAGAGGTTGACAAAAAGCAGATAATGTGATAGCTGGATTAGCAACCTGAAGAAAATGTAAAACTAAGCTTGCAAGGAGGTACAGCAAGAAGCAAAATTATTACCTTCCACCAAACCCCTGAAATATTTCCAAAATGTAAACCCACAATATTCTGATGGTGATGGAGGAACTGGAACAGAAAGACTGGTAAAAATGCTTACAAGGAATGGAAAGATCTCCTGAGCTCCTTCCTCCACTGAGTTCATTCCTAACCCTGGTAGGAAACCAAAGGTTTATTATCTGAAACATCCTCTGCTCAGGGGCACTAGGTACAAATGAAGAAGGAGGTGAGATTACTTAACAAAAACAGGGGAATAGGGGCATGTTAATCTAACAAACGAGGGTCTCTTAGCACCACTGCGCTACAGAATTCCAAGAACACTAGTATCCAAAAATATAGCAGCCCCCTGACAAAAGATGTTAGGGGAAAAAGATGTACTGAACAAACACACAAATCGGTTTTATTGACCCCACTGCCACCCCAGACCAAAGAGACCCAAGATACCAAGGACTACAAATCCCATAATTCTATCACTACTGAAGGGAGGACTGCTGGGACCCGGGGGTGGAGTTAAGCAGCCAGGTTTGGTCTATAACTACCCCTGTTGGCCTTGGGGGTACTTGGTTTTTCACCAGCTTTCAGCATGCTCTTGGGGTTCCAGCTCAGCAAAACTGGTAAGACACATTCACCAATTTCTCTCCGAGTTATTCCTTTCTTCATTTCCTCCTTTTGTAAATAAATCCTTTTGGGTGTGCCTACAGTTGAGCCTCATTATGAGTGCCTTTAAAGTAAGCGGGTAAGGGTCCACGGTCAAGCTACCCTATTTTACATTGGGGGTTGCCCTGTAACAGAGACAGAAGAATGACTGTGATGAAATGTCAGTCAGGCCTGATCACTTTAGTAGAATGAGCAGCTCTACCCATGTGTGCAGTTTACAATCAACATTTAAGCACCTTCTTTCAAATAGAAAAGACAGAAACAAAATCCAAATTAACAAAAAAGGGAATTTTTAGAAGAGGCAATACAAAAAAAAAACTTATCAGAAAAGATACTATATCCAAAAACAAAGAGGAAGGTATTAACGAGGGATATTCAGAAAGCCTAATGACTGTGAACTTAAAATGTGTGCAAAGAAATTACAACCAACAGGAATATTGGAAAATAAAGTTGGGGAAACAGCCCAGATATCTTATTGTGGTTTTTAACTTTTTACCAGAACTTAAAAGTTTTCCATTACAACTTTTTTTCCTAAAAAAGACAGGATATCAATTCAGAAGAAATAACATTCAAATAAATGGAATTTCAGAAAAGGAAAAAGAGAAAGAAAATGGAGGAGAGATCATCCTTAAGTGAAAAAATATGTATTTCCCATATCTAAGAATTTACATAATCAGATTAAAAAGTTTCACTAAGTACCTAGCACTGTGTTTCAGATATACTAAGTTTACACCAATAATAATAATAACACATTGCCTCAGCATTAAAAGAATACTCTGAAATCTTGTGGCAAAAAGAAATAATCATGAAATACCGAAGTCAGGAAGCTGTTAAAGACACCCCAAACCCGCACTGTTAAAAATGGCAACCAACAGCCACATGGACACTAAATACCTGAAACACAACTTAGTCCAAGCTGAGGGGCTGTAATTACAAAACAAAACCCTGACTTAAAAGACTTAAAGGACGTGTGTGTGTGTGTGTGTGTATCATATATGTAGCATGATGATGATTATTTTATATTGATTACATATAAAATAAGCATATTCTGGATCTATTATTAAGCTTAATAATTCACCTATTTCCTTTTACTTTTAATGTGGCTACTAGAAATTTTAAATTACAGATGAGCTCCCACTATATATCGATACAACAGTGCTGATTTAGAACTAGAAAACAACAGAGTAATGTACTCAAAACTTGCAGAGAAAGTGATGTCTCCCCTAGAAGACTGCTCAAATTATCAATCAAGAAGACAAAATATATTTTCAGACAAGAGAGCAAAGAATTTTTTCCAATCTTTCCACTCTTAAGGTGACAATGGAAGATATATTTTACCAAAACAGACACAAAAATCAACAACAAAAAAATAAGTCACTGGACCTAGTAAAGTCAGAAAGAAATTGCCAGCATAATGATAAAGCCACATTCCAAAAAAATGTGCAGCAAATCTCACAGAACCACAGACCAGACTGGAGCAAGAGGACAGGAGGCAAATCTCTGGGAATAAAATAAAGTCAATGGAAGACACCATGTGTCTGAACATGTCCACAGGCGATGAGCAGTCCTGTAGGGGAGTTTAGGAATTAATTAATGAGACAGAAAATTAAACAAATAGCAGAGAAGGTAGTTATGACTTCAAAACAAAGTTGAGAAAGTAAATATGATCATTGAGGATGACATAACTCAGTTATGAATATTTACATGATCATTATAACATAAACACAGAAGAACACTAACCAAGAAGGTTTAAATGACTATACAGAAAGGCTGGGAGAAAGGGCATGTAGGAATTACAGAAGTGGAAATAAAAGATATCAGTTATAAAAGTTAAACTTTTTTATGTAGGAAATTTTAAAATATCTAAAGTTAAAATAAATGTAAAATCTTCAAGTACTATAAAATAAGCATAATATCTAGTAAAAGAAGAAAACAGCAGAACAAACAGGCAAAGTTACTGAAAACAGTTAACTTGAGAATGGGAATCAGAAACAAGCATGGGGAAGCATTTTCCCACTGGAAATCTTACAGTACCATTCACTCTTTTTAAAAGGGACATACACTACCATAATTGAACTAGAGTTTAAAAGAAAGAACAACTCCGAGTATACCCCAATTCTGACTTCTAGTCTTATAATTGACCTAAAATGAATTAATACCTTTACTTAAATGAAAAAGGTGGTGAGATGTGGTATTTGAGGGGGAGCTGACCACTTTTTGTTCTTCAATGGCTTATTAAGGGTCCTCATCTTTCGAAATCATCTTAGTAAACCAAAATGCCTTCCCACTGGGTTATATATCCCTCCATAAAGACTGAATTATACCACAGATGATTTTAAGTGATTCTTTTCAAAGATTATGTCAAATGATATTGTTTCAATGTTTTATTTCAAAAACCTATTTAAACCTACAGGTCATAATGCTGATTCCACTTTGGATCAAGTGTATTCTTCACAGTATCTGTAGAATGGCATTGTCCAGATCCATCAACCACCACCTTAGCAAATGGATCAGGAAGTCCTGTGAAAAAATGGTAAGATTTTTTTTCATTAAAGAATATTTTTATATGGAAGATAAAAATCAATCACAACATTACTATTGGCTATAAAAGAGTATTCTATTCTTATAAAAAGTTTAACATGTAGCTAGAAATGAAGAGGTCATAAAGCTAAGATTAAAATCAATTCTACATTAAATACCAAAATCTTCATCTTTTTTTCTTACTCGTCTCACAACTTCCCAGCTTAAACTACCAAAAAGTCTAGAAGTTACCTGCTAATATAGACAAGTCTATGGCTCTACCAGCCCTTTTACCCCAGGAAAGTGAATGCTTAAAATACTGGGGGCTCTCTTAGAAAGCTTTCCCGTGGTTTTCTTTAGTGGTTGAAAGAAAGTGCTGGTTAAGGATTTCACACAGAAAAACAGGCTACAAAGAAATCAAATTAACTAAAAGGTTTAACTAAATAGCTTCCAGAAAGTGAAACAAAATTTCTAGTACCTCGCCTTAAAAGAGCTTACTATCTAATTAGGAAAATAAGAATAAGTGTTTCTACTGATTACAAAGAAAGCACTTTTATTACAAAGAAAGCATTTTTAATACTATGTCAGACAACTATTCTAAGTGATATGTAATTAGTCTCATATCTTACAATAACTCTAAGGAACAGATACTGGATCTATGTCACTGCTACAGAAACTAAATGCAAGTAGTTAATTATACAAGCCCAAAGTCTTACATAGTAAGTCGTAGCATGAGATTCTAAACCCATGCACCCATGCCCTTAGTCACCAGCCTGCAAGAGGTTCATGAGTAGAAGTTAGAGCTCAAAACAAGGAAAACAGTTTGAAATTTCAACAATTTGAGGGTATGGAATTCATTTGGGCTTTAAAGGACAAACAGGAAGAACACTAAGGAGCGTAAGCTAATTTCCAAGGGCTCTAGAGACTAACCAAAGCCTTTGTGCTAAGTATAAATGTAAATATTGTTGGAGAGAAAAGACTGATTCATGATTGAATAAAAGATTTTAAAGTCCAGAAAATAAAAGCTTGAAATGACTGCAGCAGTAATGAAACCATTTTAGGTTCCTGAACATGGCTATAAGTAGACTGTCATTTTTCCTATTGGAGGTACATACTCAGGACAGGCTAGACAAAGGAAAGACTAGAGACGGAGACTATTCAATGAAGCTGTTATAGTAATATAACAATGGGATGAGAACCAGGTAAGTCACATGAAAAGAAAAAAGACCATGACAGATAAGAGAGCTTCTCTGAAAGATCTAATTTTAATTTATAAGAAACTAGTATCAACAATGACACTTCAATTTTCAGCTAAAAGTAACTTAAAATAGAGATCCTTCTGGGGTAGGGGAGGGAGAAACTGACTAAATAAAACATTGGAATGATAAAGATTTCCTATGGAGTTTAAAATGCTACAACAGGAACCTCCCTGGTGGCTCAACGAGTTAAAGCACAGCACTCTGGTGATCCACATGGTGTGGCAGACCTCTCCTGGCCGACCTGCTGTGTACTTCAGTACATCTGCCTGTTCTGCTCCCCACTCTGTCTCTAGTGAAATCTCTCGCCCCCTCACCTGGCCTGTACCCCAGTTCTTGTATGTGTAAATAAATAAATCTTTAAAAAAAGCTACAACAAAATGTTGGTATTGTTAATTAGAGAAACTCTGTGCCTTGCTATCTATGCTACTCTTTTTTAAGTCAGGACACTAATTTGCTAGGATTCAAAGCCAGACAGAAATCACTAGCCAGTTCCCCAATTCTGATTTCCCAATATCTGCTAATTTCAACTAGGACCAAAATTTAGGAGTACTGGTAAGTTAGGGTGTCAATCTATTGAACTGTATCATTTTTGGAATTTAGTGTTATTCATATTATCTCAATAATGCCTATTTTAATTTAGTTTAATGGAAAAATACATTTACCTTTACCTTCTATTAGATCCAGTATTTTCTCCTGGAATGCATCTATACTATTATTTTGGTTCTACTATTTAAAGAAATAAGCATGTAAATGTGTATTTGTAAGCAAAAATAAACAATCACATTTCTACCTTTCCCTTTGGATATTGTTTAAGGAATTAAGAACTAAGAAAAAACTTTGAGGCCACCCTGGTGGCACAAAGGATTAGTGTCTCAGCATTACAAAGCTCTCCACATCCACTGCAGCAAGTATGATCCCCAGCCAGGGAGGTGACCCACATGGCACAGCAGACCTCTCCTGTCTCCCTGCTGCTCCCCTCAGCAGTGGATTTCAGGAAATCCACCTATTCTGCTTCCCTCTCTATCTCTGGTGAATCCTCTTACCTCCCCCACCTCTGGCCTTCACCCCAGCTC